GTTCCCCAACACACAGATGCCACTTGCACCCAAGGACCACCCTGCGCCTCACCCAGCTCACAGCAGCGCAGCTCGGCTATGGCTGCCTGCTCCTTCCTGCTCGCCTGTGAGCGCGTGAGTGCCAGCCAGCTTCAGCGCAGCAGCGCTTGCAGAGCATGCAGCCAGCACCGCCAGCACCCGAATGCCAAATGTGGAGGCAGGCCCTTTGCTATATGGAAGTGGCCTGCCTGCCTTCTGTCCCAGGCTGGGATGGGCCTTTCCCAAGAAGCTTCCGGTAGGCCCCGGTAGGCTGAGGCCCGGCCCGAAACAGATCAGGCCTAGGGCCTGAGGTGGTTGCTTGTGCCCAACTGCCTTCGGCCTGTTTGGCCCATACCCCGTATCCAGCCCAGGGCCTGCTTTCGATACATGCAAACAGGTGGCCCAGGGCCTGGGTTCTTTCAACCAACTGGCACTGCGCAACTGCCTGAATTTCCTTAGTTGCGCAGTGGCCGAAATAGAGGCCCTGAGGTTCTCGTCGAGCCTGCCTTGGCTTAGGGCGGCCGACGTGCTGCTGAAAAGGGCCTGAAAGGGCTCATAGAGGCTGTGGCCTCGCATAATTCGAAAATACTTCAGAATTAGAGTTCGATTACTTAATTCTTTTTCGGCATTTCTTTTTCAAAATTCGAAAATACTTTTAATTATTTCTTTTTCAAATTTTTTGTAATTCGCAATACTTCAGAATTCATTAATAATTTTTTGACATTTCTTTTTCGAAATTCGACAATACTTTTAATTATTCTTTTCCGAAAATTTGTTAATGTGAAAATACTTCAGAGTTAATTAATTCTTTTTCGATTTTTTTTTTTTTTTTAACTCGAAAATACTTTGGAATTAATTGTTAAAAAAAGAAAATCGAAAATACTTTTGGATCACTTAATTCCTTTTCGGAAATTTTTTGAAAATATTCTTTTTTCGAATTTTTTTGGTGATACTTTAAAAGTTAATTAATTCAATTCTGACCTCATCAATTATTTTCAAAAATATTTAATTAATCCACGTTTGAATTAATCTTTTTATTCGGAATTAATTATCCTTTTTTTCGAAATCTTAAAATCTTCCTTTTGTAAAATTCCTGCAAATTTTATTTTTTTAACTTCATCAATTATTCTTGACAATTTTAATTATTCGGAATAAATTCTTTTTTTCCTTCATTTCCGAATAAAACTTTCAAAATCCTCTTCATTTTGGGAATAAGAGCCTTCACCCCCCCCCC